TATCCTAGAGAAATCAAATGAATACTAATTAAATGAAACTGAATTACATTAAAGACATGCATTTATTCTAACAGATCATTGAGTTAAACTTAAATATCAATAATTGCCATAGAGTAGATAAGAAAAATATTTCTCTTTGTTCTGATTCTTATGGGATTTATATTGCTTTGATGGACCTCCCTTTTAGTGAAAAGTTCTTATTTCAATTTCATGATATGTAGAAAGAAAACTACAAATGGAACGTTTTTCTGTAGGCTATGTAATTCCAGAATACAGCACAAGTTAAGATAATAGTTTCATCACAGAGGTCATTTACAGTAGTTTTAAATTCTCCTATTTGTTTTTCATGTAAAGTCAATTTTTTTAACACAATACAATATAAAGTAGAAATTATTTCTATGTGCATAAATGCTATCAATACAAATTATTCTTTTCAGTTTATACTATGAAGAGTCAAAACAGAATGTGTTTTTAAGCTTAAAGCAAAATAACAGTGGTAATACCTTTCATACTTTAATCAGACAATGTTTATTTAAAATATTCACTTATGAATATAAGAACAGATTGGTAAATCACTCATAAAATCAACTCCATTGAGTTTTATAATGTTATATTATCTGTATTATTTTTACTAAACATCTGGTTTGATGGTGGGAAAATCTGTTATCTGATATTTGAAGGGGATTCAAAAATTATGTTAACTCCTCACTTTATGTGAATAAATGTATTAATATTAAATTTTATAAGATCTGTGGATAAAATTAAAAATAATATTTGCAAATTTTAGGCCCTATTATAATTTCCTAAATGTGTTGGTGGTAATAGAATGATATCATAAACTAATTTTGTACCAAGAGATTGAATGATACAAGGAAGACAAATTGATTGCAACCATATAATTAGTTAACTGGATAATTGAATTAAGTGTTATTAAATAATGTTAATTATTTAACAGAATGCTGTGGAATATAAGTCACTTAATTTTGCCAATATCTAGATATTGGGCCTATGTAGTGATTTCAGTCTTTGAAATTGAGAACGAATCGTATGTTTCTTTGCCAGAAATACCATAACAAAGTATGAAGTTTGGGCATCTTAAACAACAAAAATGTATTGTTTCATAGTTCTGGAGCTACACGTCAGAAATCAATGTGTCCACAGAGTTTCTGCCTTCTGATGTCTTTGAGGGAGAATCTGTTCCCTGGCTCTGTGCCAGCTTCTGATAGCCGCAGACATTCCCTGGCTTGTAGATAGCATTCTTTCTATGCACTCACATCATCTTCCTTCTGTGCATATCTCTGTGTGTCTGTCTCTGTGTCCCAATGTATTAGTCCATTTTCATACTGCTATGAAGAAATATCCAAGACTGGGTAACTTATAAAGAAAAAGAGGGTTAATCAACTCTCAATTCCACATGGCTGGGGAAGCCTCACAATCATGGAAGAAGGTGAAGGAGGAGCGATGGAGGAGCAAAGGCATGTCTTACATGGCAGCAAGCAAGAGAGCATGTGCAGGGGCACTGCCCTTTATAAAACCATCAGTTCTCATGAGACTTATTTACTGTCACAAGAACAGCATGGGAAAACCCACCCCCATGATTCAATTACCTTCCACCAGGTCCCTCTCACGATACGTGGGGATTATGGGAGCTACAATTCAAGATGAGATTTGGGTGGAGACACAGCAGAACCATATCATTTCACCCTGACCCCTTCCAAATCTCATGTCCTTACACTTCAAAAGCAATCATGCCTTCCCAACAGCCCCTCAAAGTCTTAACTCATTTCAGCATTAACTCAAAAGTCCACAGTTCAAAGTCTCATTTGAGACAAGGCAAGTCCTTTCCACCTATGAGCCTGTAAAATCAAAGAAAGTTAGTAATACTTCCTAGATACAATAAGAATACAGGCAATGGGTAAATACACCTCTTCCAAATGGGAGAAATTGGCCAAAATGAAGGGGTTACAGGACCCAGACAAGTCCAAAATCCAGCAGGGCAGTCAAATCTAAAAGCTCCGAAATGATCTCCTTTGACTGCATGTCTCACATCCAGGTCATGCTGATGCAAGAGGTGGGTTCCCATGGTCTTGAGCAGCTCTGGCCTTGTGGCTTTGCAGAGTACAACCCACCTCCCAACTGCTTTCGCAGGCTGATGTTGAGTCTGTGCAGCTTTTCCAGGCACACGGTGCAAGCTCTCAGTGTATCTACCATTCTGGGGTCTGGAGGACTGTGGCCCTCTTCTCACCGCTCCATTAGACAGTGACCCAGTGGGGACTCTGTGTGGGGGCTCCCACCTCACATTTCCCTCCTGCACTGCCCTAGCAGAGGTTCTCCATGAGGGCTCTTCCCCTATAGTACACCTCTGCCTGGCCATCGAGGCATTTCCATGCATCCTCTGAAATCTAGATGGAGATTCCCAAACCTCAATTTTTGATTTCTGTGCACCCACAGGCCCAATGCCACGTGTAAGCTTTGCTTTGAGGGACCTCCCATTTAGTGAAAAGTTCTTATTTCAATTTTACAATACGTAACAAGAAAACTACAAATGGAATGTTTGTCTGTAGGCTATATAATTCCAGAATACAGAACAAGTTATGATAATAATTTCCTTACAGTTAGGGGCTTGCACCCTCTAAAGCAACAACCTGAGCTGTATGTTGACCTCTTTTAGCCATGGCTGGGACAGAGGGCACCAGGTCCAAAGACTGCACAAGACCTTGGACCCAGCTCATGAAACCGTTCTTTTTTCCTCCCAGGCCTCCAGGCCTATGATGGGACACTTTGGCTGCTGTGAAGACCTCTGACATGCTCTGGAATTATTTTCCCCATTGTTTTGGTGACTAGCATTTGGATCCTCATTATGTATGTAAATTTCTGCAGCCAGCTTGAATTTCTGCTCAGAAAATGTTTTTTTTTTTTTTCTTCTTTTCTATTGCATTGTCAGGCTGCAAATTTTCCAAACTTTTATGCTCTGCTTCTCTTTTAAACATAAGTTCAAATCCAAAGTTCCATGTATTTTTGAATACATAAAACTGAATGTTTTTAAGAGCACCAAAGTCACCTCTTGAATGCTTTACTACTTAGAAATTTGTTCTGCCAGATACCCTAAATCAACTCTCAAGTTCAAAGTTCCACAGATTTCTAGGGCAGGGGCAGAAAAGCCACCAGTCTCTTTGCTAAAACAGGGCAAGAGTCACCTTTATTCCAGTTCCCAAGAAGTTCCTCATCTCCATCTGAGACCACCTCAGCCTGGACTTCATTATCTGTGTCACTGTCAGCATTTTGGTCAAAGCCATTCAATAAGTCTCTAGGAAGTTCCAAACTTTTCTACATCTTCTTTTCTTCTGAGCCCTCCAAGTCACTAGGAAGTTCCAAATTTTCCCACATTTTCCTGTCTTCTTCTGATCTTTCCAAAGTGTTCCAACCTCTGCCTGTCACCCAGTTCCAACACTGCTTCCACATTTCAGGTATCCTCATAGAAATGCCCCTCTCTACTGGCACCAATTTACTGTATGATTCCATTTTCATACTGCTATTAAGAAATACCCAAGACTGGGTAATTTATAAAGAAAAAGAGGTTTAATGGACTCACAGTTCCACATGGCTGGAAAGCCTCACTGTCATGGCAGAAGGTGAATGAGGAGCAAAGTCACATTTTACATGGCAGCTGGCAAGAGAGCATGTGCAGGGGAACTGCTCTTTATAAAGCCATCAAATCTCTTGAGACTTATTCACTATCATGAGAACAGAATGGGAAAAACACACCCCATGATTCAATTACCTCCCACCAGGTCCCTCCCATGGCATGTGGAGCTACAAATCAAAATGAGATTTGGGTGAGCACACAGCCAAACCATATTACTCAACTTCCCTTTATACATATACATTGGCTCCATTTTCTGTCAAGCTAGCACAATTCACACATCTTCAATTTACTTCATTATTTATTGTTTTGTAGAACAGTGACAGAATACTTGGCTCTGTTCATATATATATATATATATATATACACACACACACACACACACACACATATGAACACAGTCATGTTAGATAAGGGTCTACCCTAATGATCTCATCTTTACTTCATCATCTTCGAAGTCCCTATTTCCAACTAAGTTCACATTTCACAGATAATGGGGGTTAGGACTGGGGGAACACAATTCAATCCATAACATATGGACATCATACAAATATATTTTTCCAGATATATAATCAGTACCTGTGAATGTGTGAAAACAGGCAAAATTAGGTAGAATATGCTTTTCTGTTTTAGTTAGTGTTCTACAATTTTCATCTTTCCTTACACTTCCCTTCCTCTTCTCATTTAACTGAGTACCAATCATCTGCTGTAAGATATAAATACATAGAGATACATACTTTTTAAAAACTGCATGCCACCAAGTTGCAGAAGTTTCTGTATTTCAAAAGATGCATCTTTAAATTTTAGGATCATAATTTATAATTAAGATGATGATGTTCATACAGCTTTTATCTCAATTCTCAATTCTCAATTCTTTTTTTCTTTCATCATATATTGACTAAATACTCTGTGCCATATTTTCTATTAGGGCTATCTCATTGATGTGATATTACTGACATGCTATTAGGGTTACCAAAGTATTGATTACTTAGACAACTTAGGTTATTTTAAGGCTGCATGTCTTTTACTTTTCTGCAAATATTGACTGAAACCTATTATGTTGCAGAATTCTATTAGGTGCTAGTGGAACAATACGGAGACATTTCCCTCACAGAAATGTATATGCTCATAATATAATATAATTAAAAAAAACTGAATGCCTAATTTCAGATGTGGTGAATTTGATAAGGAAAATAACACAGAATAGAGGAAGAGTGACTTTTGGGGGAGGAGTTAGAGGATCAGAGTTAGTTTATATATGGTATTCAAGTAAGTCCTCTCTTAGAGGTACCTTTATGTGAAGTACACAAAGCTCTTTATGCCTCGTTTACAAGAAAAACCAAGTAAGAACTTTTGAACAAATATTATCATCTATTTTTAGTTTTATTAAATACACTAGTTTTTATTAATACACATTTGTTAAAACACATTTGGTTTTATTAACACATTTTATATATAAAGTAAAATTTGGAGAAAGGGTTTGTTTTTCCCAACGTGGAATGAAAGAGAATGATGTTTATACAATAAGCCTGATGGTTACAAGATCCATCATTTCCTTTGTTCCTTTAGTATAGGTATATCAGCTCAAGTAACTACAAGTTAATCCCAAATAAATATTCCCTTTGTCTTTACTTCCACTTTCTTATCCTGCATTCCTGTTTGGTTTTCTGAGATGCTAGAGAGAGGCTCTGGCTGCTCATTAGGAAATACTGCTGTAATACCTCCAAGAACATCGGCTCCATTTTCTGTCAAGCTGGCACAATTCATACATCTTCAATTTACTTCATTATTTATTGTTTTGTAGAACAGTGACAGAATACTTGGCTCTGTTAAAACAACAACAACAAAAAGATAGAAGACTGTTCTCTGCCCCAAGGACACGCAATTTAAGTTAGACAATTCCGACATAAAACACAATGGCTGGAAACTGGTTCATTTTCAGAGTGAAAACAACCTGAGTTTTCATACTTGTTTGCTGAGGTTGAAAAGTTACTGTGAGATATTTTTTAAAGAAAAAAATAGATATGGAGAGATATAAATTAAGAGATAAGCAGTGTTAGCTTTACATTTTTATTCTTTGTGTCTCAGACCAATTAGGAACTAAATTTTCTCTCTCTAAGTGAAATGCTGGAATCAAAATTAATGATGTAGCCTTAGATGCACAAGGGCACATGTAGACATTCCATTTGCTTACAGGAAGATGTAAAACAATTAAAATAGATTCAATGAGGTCAAGCCAAATTTAAAGCCAAATGTAACATGAGATTAAATAAATCTCATATTTAGGTGAAATATTTTCCTAGAGGATGAAAATTCTATGTCTATCAAATTAGTTATTCTAAAGCAGTGGAGTAGACATTATTAAAAATAAACCTGAGACCATAATACTACTATGAAAGAATCAAATCTGTTAAAGACTCTAGATTTAAAAATAATTAGGGCTAACAATACAAATACCTCTGCATTATAATGAACTGACGTATGCATACTAAACCCTCAACATATATCTTTGCAAAGAAGTAAGAGAGAGATTCTTCAGAGAAGGAATGATTTTCAATAGTAAGTTGCTCCCCAAATGTTCACTAATGAAAGCCAGATTCTCTGGAAATTTTTAGAGGGCTCTCTCCATCACCACTGCATATTATTACCATCTATATTTTGCCAAGAAATTCACTTCTTACTACGAATTGCTTAAACAAACAATGAGGACATTTAGATTACTTAGTTTTTGAGTGAATGAATGAAGAATGAGGGAATTCTCTTATGAATGAAGTTTGGAGGACAGTAATGAAAGAATTACCAGGATTTCAGGCTTCAGGGTCCTTCAGTGGAGAGCAGTTTTTAGGTGCCATCAAAGCTGTGGCATTGATGAGCAAAATACAATCTTGTGGCATTTGGGCTCCTACAGAGTAGGAGAGATGAATGACAAAGAAAGGTTAGAAAAACCCTCAGAAGAAAAGTGACTGAATATGAATTTTGTTGACAAAAATCATATATGCTACTAAAAATGCCATGCCTTTATAAGAAAGGTTTGCCAATATTTTGGTTATATACTTGTCACTCACCTTTTCAAACTGTCCTAAACGAAGAGACAGAAAAATAATCACATGAATCTGCCTTACTCAGTTTGGGCCACTAGGAATTAAAACTGTAGAATCTACAGAGACAGAGAAACAAATAAGTAATTTAATTCGCAAGCTCCCGAAGCTCTTATTGTTTCAAGTCATTCAGTGGATTTTATTCATTATGTTTATTCCACTGTAAAATTAGATGTACAAAGAAATACATAATTCCTTTTACTTGCTATTGGTCATAAATCTTTAGAACAAGCTTAAATTACAGTTATTTAAATCTATGCTTCATGAACACATTTGCAGGGCTTTTTTCCCCAATACTTAGTTAATATTACTTAGACAAATACTTATTAAGATTGATTTAGTTGCGAAGCTAAGTATAGGTTGCCTTCAAATTATATCAGCGAGGTGTAATAATATATAACACAATATTGTGCATAATACTAGATGTGTATTTTAGATGTCAGGAATAAATTATGTATTTAGGGGAGTAAAATGGTGGTGGTCCTCTATGGCAAAAAGATCAAGTTCAAATATGCCCATTTTTATGTGCAGACAGAGCCTACCATGATTTCATTATTAAAAAGGAGTTATAAAAGCTACTAAGTTATAAAACATGATAAATTTGGAGTTCTTAACCTAGGACCCATCAGCTCCACTAGGTCCATGAACCTAGGTACAGTACTTGCAGGTTTCTGTGCTCATTTGCATTTTGCTGGAGGGATTTCGATAGGTTCTCAAAAGGCACTGAGAGAAAAAAATAAGGACATAAAATTTTAAGATTGTGTAAACATCCATTCTGTAGAATTTTATTTCAGCATATTTATATTTCCATTGCTATGGATGTTTTATAAAATATCCAAATGTTTAGAAATAACGAGACTCTCATAAATAATAAACCACCACATCTGTGACTGCAAAGAGCTTTCACAGGGATGACACATTCTCAACCAACTTCCTTTCTCTCCATCCCTCTCTCCTTCCAGTCTTTTCTTTGCTTTCTTTTTCCACCATCCTCAAACCAGGGACTATCAGGAATAGCTATATTTTATCCACTGTTAGATCCATTTCACCAGATTTTTTTCTCTCCCTTTCTTTTCTCAACATACTCTGTTCATATTTTTTAGATTAAATGTGCTGACAGTGACCCTACAAGTTCTAAAATTTGATGTCCCTAAATAAATTATTTCTATTTCAGATCTAAGGCTGGCATTACAGATTCCTTATTTATATCTTAACTCCACATTTATTTGGTCCACAAGTGTATCTAGGTTTTATTTTTCTTAAATATAAAAGAGGAGGAGAGTAATAGAAATAACCTACTTCAGAGAGTTGGTAAGACAAATATAACTGTTAATATATTTCATATATTCAACTCTTTTTACCTCATACCTCAAATACAGCAAGTCAAAGCAGTATCAGGAAGTGTCAGCCATTATAAAGAAGGAATTAATGGAATGTGAAAATCTCTGATTCTCACAACAGTCTATTTAGCCTATTTTGAATCAGTATTAATAACTATACAGTATTTTTGACACATTGTAGAACAATTATTCTGGAAACTTATTCTGGAATTGCCCAGGATAGTGCAACAAAATTCTTGGACTTTTGTTAGGGTACAGAAACATTTATTGTCTCCTTCTAGGTAGTTTAAAGAGAAAAACCTAACTTTTAACTTACCTCTGGCATTTCTATAAGTAGGATCACCCTACAGAGCTTCTGGCAAAATAGCTTCATGAGGCTGCTTTGAGAACATCCGAAATATGGAGGGGAAAAAAAAAATAGAACATCAGAAGCCAGGTAGAGGAATCTGTGGCATGAGGAGTAAATGGGACCTTGAGCCAGCTGGAATCGCGACCAGACATCCAGCAGAATGCCATCTGGCCCGGACAACAGGACTTCCCTTGCTGCCTGTGCACCATGGAGTGTCCCAGGGCCTCCACTTAGTCTGGTCTTCTGGCGTCACCTCTCTACTCCAGCCAAAAGCCCGTTGCATGTTTGACCTGCTCTGTTTTCCAGCTCTGACTTCTGGATGTGCCCCTGTTGCCATGGCTACCAGTCCTTGGTTTTTGACTAAGCCTGGCTTCTGGTCGCAGCTCCTGCACTCACACACAGTGGCATGCTCAGTTCTTGGCCTTGAATTCATTTGCAACAGTACCTGTGCACTTGCTTCAGGCCTCTAATTCAGCTGTAACCTCCTGAGTTTCACCCAAGGTCTCAAAAATGAGCCTGAAGGATAAATCTTTGGCTTGATTATTTGAGGCTATTTGAATCCTCTCTATGTCCCTCTTTAGTGGATGGTTTTGGAAAATCATTTCATTATTTACCCTTAGTGGGGAATAATTTCCTCCCCTAATCTAGTATCTCTCAAAACCATAAGTAAACCAATCTTTCCAGCATGTATTTACTCTTCCGTGAAGGACGCAAATGTTAGTCTAAAAAAAACTCAATAATTAAATTTAAAAATTATATTGAGCTCATACAATTGGAAAGCATGTGCAGAGGACAGCACAGGACATAAGATGACCACATTAAAAAACAGACTACATCAGGTGCCCCAGAGGTATATTACAAAATAACAACAGAGACAAAGCAAAGCAAGTTAATAAGTCACAGAAACAATGTATATTGGAGGCATCAAGGAAGTGTTCCTTGTCCAGGAAGAATTTGATATGACCCTTAATGAACTACCAGGATTTGGGCAGAAAGTTGGGAAATATGTCTACCAAATAGGGTAAGGAAACAATAAGGGAAACGCATAGGATTGGTTAAATATGGAATGTCATTAGAAAAGTCCTTAGCTTTCTGATCGGGCGCAGTAGCTCACACCTGTAATCCCAGCATTTTGGGAGGCCAAGACAGGTGGATCACCCAAAGTCAGGAGTCTGAGACCAACTTGGCCAACATAATGAGACCCTCTCTCTATTAAAAATACAAAAATTATATGGATGTGGTGGCGGGCACCTGTCAACCCAGCTACTCAGGAGGTTGAGGCAGGAAAATCACTTGAACTTGGGAGGTGGAGGTTGCAGTGAGCTGAGGTCTCACCATTGCCCTCCAGCCTGGGTGACAAGAACAGAACTCTGTCCAAAAAAAAAAAAAAAAAAAAAAAAAAAAAAAAAAAAAAAAAGAGAGAGAGAGAGAGAAAAGAAAGAAAGAAAGAAAGTCCTTAGCCTTCTATTTTGGCAAAGGGATATTATGGGTATAGCAAATTAATAGAAGAACAGTGTTGACTATTAAGCCAGGTTTTTCCACCAGGGCCTTCAAAGTTTGTGTAAGGAGACTGCATTTTATTATACAGGGAATGGCAGGACAGGGTCTGTTTTATCCATGCCTTAGGAAGGTTATTTTTTAAATTGCAGTGAAGGAAGACTGGAAGTAGGGTAGCATGGGATGAAGGGATGGGATGAAGCCTTAGAAACATTCCAGGTAGGAGAGTATAAGTGCCTAAACAAAAGGTAAAGTAGAGAATATAGAGGAAATGATGGATGGGGAGACAGTGCATAGAGTGACACATACAGGCTAAAAATGTTTAAACTATGCCTGTCTCTTTAAGGATTTTATTGTCCATGGAAAATGTATATCATAGTTTAAAGGAGAAATAAGTCACATTTTCTTTTTTTAGAAAATAAACTTTAAACATGAATTCTTTCTTGAATTCATCTAAGTTTCTAGGAGTCATACTGTTGTCCACTACAGTGCTTCCTAAACCTGATTATGTATCCGAATCATGTGAACAATTCCTTAATTCTTACTCATATTTAGTAGCATTGGGTGAGGTGTTTGAATCATTGTTAAAAAAAAAAAAAGGACATTGCTGTTTGGGAAGGGATGTGAAAATTGCTGATTATGATACAAGAGTGTCCATGTTCAACCTCCAGCTTTCCTGCTATTAATGCTCTCTTAACCTGATGACATTGCTATAAGCTATTTTAAGGAGAACTAATAAAGTGAATGTCTTATTTGTACATATCCCAAGACGGATAAAATTATGCAGACTATAAATAGCATAATTACGTAAGCAGGCAAATTTTTCAGAAGAGAATTTCAATAAAATAAATCTTGGATATGATTGGAAATACTTTTCTTATTTGTTTGATGGAAATTACTGTAGGCCAATTAGTATATATCACACTTTGTATGTGGCTAAAGGGCTAGGAAACTTATCCCACAGTGGTCCGCCTGACTGGTTTCAGTGAGTCCTGCTAGCAGAATTCTAGTTGAAAGTCTGTAGTTCCTTTTTTATCTTGCTCCAAGCTCCATGATGCTCAGCCAAGCAAGAAGCTCCAATTGCCTTCAAAGATGACTCCTCACTTGAATGAGCACTGTGGGGTACAGAGGAAGATGAGAGCCTGGCCTTGTGTTAGAAGATTTAACATATGCCTCCTTTTAGATCAGGCTCTATCTGGAAAGGGTTCCATGGAAGCTTCAAGGCATGTACACATCTATAATTCACAAGAGGAAATTATGAATTACAGAGTAAATCTGAGTGAATCTTATATTTGAAAGAGACTTAGGATATTTAGATTTTTATAAAGTAAACCTAACTAATTTTTATATTGAGAATCTCTCCATGCATCTAGTTCATGTGTCAGGAGATACAGTAGTAATTTACAGGTCATTAGTGTCAAGGTATATACAGATAAACACACATAGACATCCATCTGTTTGAAGATATAATTAGCAATATTTTAGAACATAGGTCACTTTTCTATGTTACAACATATATTTATTGCATAGTCATGAAAACCCTCATGCTCACGTTTATTTTTCAAATCTCTTTTTGTCATTGACTCCAAAGATAATATATGTCTAGTCCCTAAGGCCTTCTCAGAAAGTGCTAATTCAGCTGCATTTTTCTCTTATGCTGTCAGGTTCTGCCCAGATTTTTTTGCTCTGATATTTGGAAGAATCCTGCTGCATTTAAGCTACAGGATAAATATTAATGGTGAAAAGGACTTATTTTATTTTGCTTTGGATAAATATACATTTTTTATATTAAGTATCCAGGATATCAATCTCATAAATAGAATAAATGAGAAATCTTCCCAAAAACACTTGTGAAATATCATAAGCCAATATCATTAAGTCCACAACCTAAACAGGAACATGACAATTTACTTGTATTTTTGTTCATCTCTCTTCACATCATTTAGGCTGTAGTGTTAAGATTCTCATAGACAGATTGTTTTTCCATACTGCTAACTAGGAAAAAGAAATAAAACAATTGAGTTGTGTCATTTAGAATCATATATACACTGTTACTTCTTTTTAAATCTATAAGGGAACTCTTGATATTGCATAGTTATAGAAAATAATACATGCCACTAGAAATCTATGATAGAAGTGTTTCAATTCAAAAATAATATGTCTTATCTACTCATTCACTTTCTTACAGTTTTACTTACTAATTATCTTATAACATGCCATGTTTTAAAATTGAAATATTTAGGCCTTACTTTCTTGTCTTCTCTTATTTGCCCTTGAACGGGCATTATTAACTATGAATAAAACAGACCAGAGCCCTACACCACCAACTCCTTATGTCACCCACTGTTTCTTCATTCGCCCATCCATTCTTTCCCCACATAACTCCTCAGACATGTATGACAGTTTGCTCCATGCTAGTCCTT